TAGTAGCAGTTGCCTGGCATTTCAGGATAAATGAATCTAGCAGAAGGACTATTGTAAAAAAAAAAAAAAATTGTAAAATCGTTGCTACAGCTTCTCTAGCAGGTGTGGAAAGCCTTGTGCTTTTTGCAAAATACCTTTTTTTTTTTTTTAAAGATTTTATGTATTTATTTGACAGAGAGATCACAAGCAGGCAGAGAGAGAGGAAGAAGCAGGCTCCCTGCTGAGCAGAGAGCCCGATTCGGGGCTCGATCCCAGGACTCTGGGATCATGACCTGAGCCAAAAGTAGAGGCTTTAACCCACTGAGCCACCCAGGCGCCCCAGCAAAATACCTTTTTATTTCATATTGAAGATGTGGCTTTTATGTGGGTATAGGATTGCTCCAAGGAAGACATACCTGTAGACTAATACGATTTGAGAAAAATTAAAGTCATCATATGACAAAACAAATGAAAGGTGAAAGATCTAAAGCTGGAGAATTTAATGCCGGCAAAGGATGGTTTGATAATTTTTAGAAGTTTGGTTTAAAAATATGTCAGGATAACAGGAGAAGCAGCTTCTGCTGACCCAAGAGTGCAGACAAGTTCTCAGACACCATTAAGAAAATTACTAAGAAAGGGTATCTGCCTGAGCAGGTTTCTAATTCAGAGGAAAGTGCATTGGGTAAAAAAAAATGCCACAAAGGACATTTATTAGTAAGGAAGAGAGGTGAGCACCAGGTTTGAAGGCAGGAAGGAATAGATTAACTCTTCTGCATAAATACAGTTGGGTTCATGGTCAGGACTGCCCTCATCTGTAAAGCTGCTAATCCCTGACCTCCAAGGGAAAAGATAAACACCAGCTGCCCGTCTTTTGGCTGTACAACAGGAAGTCCTGGAAACTAGCACTTTTCTGGATTGGATTCATCAGTGCTTTTTCTCTGACATCAGGAAGTACTTTGTCAGTAAGGGACTGCCTTTTAAATTTCTTCTGATACTGGACAATGTCCCTGGCTACCCAGAACTCCATGAGTTCAACACCAAAGGCATGAAAGTGTTGCTCCCAAATATGGTGTCTCTAATTCAGCCTCTAGATCAGGGGGTCATTAAGGACGTTTAAGGCTCATAACACATGGTGCTCTATAGAAAAGGTTATCAAGGCCATGGAAGAGATGCCCTGTAGAGAAAACATGAAAGTCTGGAAAGATAACACCATTGAAGATACCATTGTTGTTATAGAAAAAGCCATGAAAGCAATCAAGCCTGAACAGAATACATTCCTGCTAGAGAAAACTGTGTCCAGATGTTGTACATGACTTCACAGGATTTATAACAGAGACAAGGAAATCATGGAAGAGATTGTGGTTATGGCAAAAATGATGGGGGTGAAGGGTTTCAGGATATGGATCTTGGAGGAATTCAAGGACCAAGAGATTCTCCACCAGAGGAATTTAGAGAAGAGTGCTTGGTGGAGATGGTACTTCTGAACCAGTGCCAGATGATGAAGCAGTGTTAGAAAACAAATTGACACTCTTAATCTCAGGAAACAAACTGAGGGCTGCTGAAGCGGGGTGGGGAGGGATAGTGTGGCTGGGTGGTAGACATTGGGGAGGGTATGTGGTATGATGAGTGCTGTGAATTGTTTAAGACTGATGATTCACAGATGTGTACCCCTGAAACAAATAATACATTCTATGTTTAAAAAAAAAAATTGACAATCTGGCATAAGCATTTTGAGTATTCAAGATAGCTACTTCTTTAATGATGTGGGCCCTTCTATGGTATGGACACTGTAACTAAAGCAAATGGTGGAAGAAGAATAGGTACTATATGTATAGAAACATTTTTAGAGAAATGAAGAAAAGACAAATTATGATGTACTTCATAAAGTTACACTCTGTGTGCCTACCTCTCCTGCATCTTCAGCTACCTTCCCACCTCTTCTATTGCTGTCACCCCTGAGACAGCAACACTCAGCTCCTCCTCATCCTCAGCCTACTCAGCATAAAGACAGCAAGGATAAAGACCTTTATGACGTCGATCCATTGCATTTAGTAAATAGTCATCCTGCTGTACAGTTAACAAATTTATCTGTTGTATATGTGTCTGTCTTCATGTGAAAATCTAGTAACTGTACAGCAAGAAGTATATGAGACATATTTCTGTCATTATCATCCTCCTTGCCTAAGTCATTATGTAGAGCATCATGTGCAAAACTGGTATGAAAGTGGATAGTCTATCCTTACATAGGCATAGGTGAGTAGTATTTAATATAAAATTAATAATGTGTTAGCTTTCTTACTGTTTTATAATTTTGCTTTCAAAGAATGATATTACCATACAGTATACCTTTCTTTCTTGTAATTGAAGATACTCTCTATCAGCCTATCGACATAGGTAAGTGGTTTGTTTTTTTAAAGTGTTTCCAGTACTGCATTGTGACATGACTGTAATACCGTACACCATCAGAATTTTACAAGGGTTCATTCATTTGTGTATGGCTATGCTACTCTGAAGCTACTGTATTGATTACACTAGGCTATCATAAAGCAGTCGATTGCCACTTTATTATCAATGCAGTAAATATGGATTTCACATTTTGTTTGCTTTTTTTTTTTTTAAGATTTTATTTATTTATTTGACAGAGACAGCGAGAGAAGGAACAGAAGCAGGGGGAGTGGGAGAGGGAGAGAAGCAGCCTTCCTATTGAGGAGGAGCACCATGTGGGGCTCCATCCCAGGACTCTGGGATCATGACCTGAGCTGAAGGCAGATGCTTAACGGCTAAGCAACCCAGGCACCCCTATGTTTTCATTTTTGATGTTTGTTAGTAATACGTATACTATCTGAAGTGTTTCGTATCCTATAAGACAGTATTTTTTTTTTAAGATTTTATTTATATATTAGAGAGAGAGAATGAGAGGGGAGGGGTCAGAGGGAGAAGCAGATTCCCCACTGAGCAGGGAGCCTGATGTGGGACTCGATCTGGGGACTCCAGGATCATAACCTGAGCTGAAGGCAGTTGCTTAACCAACTGAGCCACCCAGGCGCCCCTAAGACAGTATTGAGAAGTACTGACAGATGATTCATCTTGTAAACAGATGACATAAACTTACAGTATTGAAAAACAATGCAGTCCTGTAAATATATTTTCTTTTCCTTATGATTTTAATCTTTTCTCCGGCTTTCTCTGTTGCAGAAGTACAGTATATAATATGCATAACGTACAAAACGTGTTAATTGACTGCATATGTTATTAAGGATGTCGGTCAACAGTAGGGTATGAGCAGTTAAGTTTTTGCGTAGTCAAAATTATACATGGTTCAACTGCATGGTGAGCTGGTGCGCCTAATCCGCATGTTGTACAAGGGTCAGCTGTACTCAAACTTCAGAAATTCAGCCTGATTTTCTTTTATTATTTTGAAGTGTAGTTATATTTAGTCCTATTAAAAATGGCATGTATAGCATGGTCTTATTTTTTTCTTAATTTGTTTGTCATTCTATCTGTGTAATTACATACAAAGATATTTATATTAATAACAGTATTTTATTTTTATTTTTTATTTTTTATTTTTTATTTTTATTTTTATTTTTTTTAAGATTTTATTTATTTATTTGACAGGCAGAGATCACAAGTAGGCAGAGAGGCAGGCAGAGAGAGGAAGGGAAGCAGGCTCCCCGCTGTGCAGAGAGCCCGATGCGGGCCTCGATCCCAGGACTCTGGGATCATGACCTGAGCTGAAGGCAGCGGCTTAACCCACTGAGCCACCCAGGCGCCCTAATAACAGTATTTTAGTGATAATTTTAGTTAATTTTGGATTTGGAGTGATTTTTAATATCTTTCTACATTTCTGTATTTAAGTTTTTTTTATAACAATGGAGCGTTTTTTGTTTTTCTAAAAAATGCTATGCACAATTACGTGAAGATACTAACAATGGTTAACTCTGGGAAGGAGGAGTGAATATGATTATAATTTTTTCCCTTCCTTTCCTTTAAAAAATTGTTTAAATTTAAAATGAAAGATGCTCAAGTATTTCAGCTCAAGTGTTTCAGAGCAGATTAAGCCAGATTTGGAAATGATAGTTTTATTCATAATATGACATATGCCATAAGAATATAGCTTAGGGGCGCCTGGGTGGTTCAGTGGGTTAAAGCCTCTGCCTACGGCTCAGGTCATGATCTCAGGGTCCTGGGATCGAGCCCCGCATCGGACTCTCTGCTTAGCGGAGAGCCTGCTTCCTCTCTCTCTCTGCCTGCCTATCTGCCTACTTGTGTTCTCTGTCAAATAAATAAATAAAATCTTTAAAAAAATATATATATAGCTTATCCAGATCTGAGAAGTGATGATTTAGGAATTGGTAATCCAGTTGTGGAAAGGATAATCCCTAGAAGTAGTAAGAATATTAATGTGGAATTGAAATATATACATTTTCAATTGCAATGGTGTATTTAGGGGATAGAACATGGGGCTTGCACTCATGACCCTGACATGAAAATGGAGCTAAAATCAAGCATCAGAAGCCCCAGAGATAAAATATTTTTAAAATTATTACTTTGTGTCAGGACCAAATAACTTATGAAAATTGTGTTAGAATGATTTATAGAAGCATGCTGAGGAAGCAAAGTAGTAATGGTATTGATTTTTTTTTTTTTTTAGTATTTTTAGTATTAGGGAATTATGCTGTATGTGAAATAAAGAGTAGATTTCTCATTTCCTGATGATTTCATGAACTGAAGTCATAGTAAACTAATTTTTTTCCTTCTGCATTATGAAGAAACCAGTTTGCTAGTTTCAAAAAGCTGGAAACTGTTAAATGTGACAGTATTGTTGGATTGAAAATTAGAAAAAAGTAATTTAGTGATGATAGGAAGTTTTTAGTTCTGACTTTCTGAATGAGAGGGTGGGTATAATTACAGACTAAGGAAAGATTGAATGTAATACAGATATAAACAGTTTAATGACAGAAAGTGTTACTACTTTTCACTAGTTTTTGTCTCTCTCCCTGCCCCCAACTTTCTTACAGACTCACCAATCTAAAGAAGATGGAGTTTATGTTTTCCAGCCCCACACTCAGCCAGTTAGCGGTATTTACTTCTCACCCGCCAATCCGGCTCACATACTGTCACTGAGCTATGACGGCACATTACGCTGTGGGGATTTTTCAAGGGCTATTTTTGAAGAGGTAAATGTTAATGTATTTACATACTGACTTGAGGTGATATTCTGGATTCTTTATGAAATGCCACATGAATGATTATCATACCAATCAGAATGGGTGAAGTGGTATAGAATAGGAACTTTAGAATTACACTACTTAAGTTTGAATCGCACCATCTGTTACTACTTGTGTGACCTTGGAAGTTATTTAACCTCTTTGCATCAATTTCCTTAGTTGTGAAATGGTATAGTAATAGTACCTACCTCATGGGTTGTCATGAGGATTGAATGACTTTAGGCAGATAAAGTGGTCAGAATGCAGCCAGACACATAAGTGTTTGCTCTTATTTTTAAATTTGTGTAAAAAGTTTTTATTGTGTATTACTCTTTTTTATTGAAGTATAGTTGACACACAGTGTTTCATTAGTTTCAGGTGTACTACATAGTAATTCAACTCTGTACATTATGCTGTGCTCACCGCCAAGTGTAGCTACCATCTGTCACCATGCAGTTGCTACTACTGCATTGCCATTGAATATATTCTCTGTGCTGTACATTTTATCCTTTTTTATTCCCATATTCATTCCATTGCTAGAAGCCTGTATCTGCCATTCCCCTTAACTCATTTTGACCATTCTTCCTCCACCCCTCTGAATCCCTCTGGCAACCACCAGTTTGTTCTATTTATGGTCTGTTTCTGCTATTTTTGGTTTTGTTCATTTGTTTTTTAGATTCCATATAAGTGCTATTTGTCTTTCTCTGTCTCACTTAACTTCACTTAGCAAAATGTCCTCTAGGTCCATGTGTGTTGTTAGAAATGGCAAGATCTCATTCTTTTTTTTATGGCTGAGTAATATCCCATTGCATACACACACACACACACACACACACACACACCCACCCCAGCATCTTTATTCATTCATCTGTCAGTGGACATCTGTAGTGAACATAAGGGTATATATATCTTTATGAGTTAGTGTTTTCATTTTCTTTGGGTAAATACTAGTAGAATTACTGGATTATATAGTTTTCCTATTTTTAGTTTTTTTGAGGAACCTGCGTACTGTTTCTGTGGTGGCTCTACTAATTTACATTCCTACCAACAGTGCATAGGCATTCCTTTTTCTTCACATCTTTGCCAGTACTTGCTATTTCTTGTCTTTTTGATAGTAGTCATTCTAACAGGAATAAGGTGAGATTTCATTGTGATTTTGATTTGCATTTCCCTGATAGTCAGTGATGTTGAGCATCATTTCATGTGTCTGTTGGCTATCTCCGTATCTTTGGAAAAATGTCTGTATCCTCTTCCCATTTTTTAATTGAATTACTTGGAGGTTTTTTGGTATTGAGTTAAGTTCTTTATATATTCATTCTCTATATATGTTCCAGATATATAAGGGATATTAACCCCTTATCAAATATATTATTTGCAAATATCTTATCCCATTTGGTAGGTTGCCTTTTCATTTTTTTTTTAATGGTTTCCTTTGCTGTACAAAAGGTGCTTATTTTGATATAGTCCTAATAGTTTATTTTTGTGTTTGTTTCCCTTTCCTTAGGAGACATACCTAGAAAAATGTTGCTAAGTCTGGTGTCAAAGAGATTATTGCCTGTGTTTTCTTTTAGGAGTTGTATGGTTTCAGATTTTACATTTAGGTCTTTAATCCATTTTCAGTTTTTATTAATTAATTTTTAAAAGTAAACTCTACACCTAATGTGGGGCTTGAACTCGTGACACCAAAATTAAGAGTATCATGCTTTACCAACTGAGATAGCTAAGCACCGCCATTTAGGTTTATCTTTGTATATGGTGTCAGAAAGTGGTCCAGTTTCATTTTTTTCATGTAGCTATCGTTTTCCCAGCACCATTTATTGAAGAGACTGTCTTCCCCATTGTATATTTTTGCCTTCTTTGTCCTAGATTAATTGACCATATAAGCATGGGTTTATTTCTGGGCTCTCTGTTCTGCTCCACTGATCTGTTGTCCCAATACTGTACTGTTTTGATTACTACAACTTTGTAATGTATCTTGAAATCTGAGATTGTGATAACTCCCATCTTTGTTCTTTCTCAAGATTGCTTTGCTTATTTTGATGGTTTTATGGTTCCATACAAATTTTAGGATTATTAGTTCTAGCTCTGTGAAAAATGCTTTTGGTATGTTAATAGATAATTGCATTGAATTTTTAGATTGCTTTGAGTAGTACAGACATTTTAATGGTATTGGTTCTTTCCATCTGTGATTATGGTATATCTTTCCATTTGTTTGTGTCATCTTCAGTTTGTTTTTTTTTTTAAAGATTTTATTTATTTATTTGAGAGAGATCACAAGCAGGTAGAGAGGCAGGCAGAGAGAGAGAAGGGGAGGCAGGCTCCCTGCCGAGCAGAGCCCGATGCGGGGCTCAATCCCAGGACCCTGAGATCATGACCTGAGCCGAAGGCAGAGGCTTTAACCCACTGAGCCACCCAGGCGCCCCTCATCTTCAGTTTCTTTGATCATTTTATAGTTTTCAGAGTACAGGTCTTTTATGTCCTTGGTTAAATTTATTCCTAGCTATTTCTTAGGGTACAGGTTTTTTTTTTTTTAAAGATTTATTTATTTATTTGAGAGTGAGAGAGAATGGGAGGTAAGGATGGAGGGAAAGGGAGAGGAAGTCTCAAGCAGGCTCTCCACTGAGCACAGGGACTGACATGGGGCTTGACCTCATGACCCTGAGATCATGACCTGAGCCAAAACCCAGAGGTGGACACTTAACGAACTGGGCCACCCAGGCAGGCACCCCTTTTTAGTGCAGTTGTAAATGGAATTGTTTCTTAGTTTCTCTTTCTGCTACTTTGTTATTATGAGTTGTATGGAAATGCAACATATTTCTTTATATTAATTTTGTATCCTGTAACTTTCCTGAGTTCATTTATTACTTGTGAAAGCTTTTTGGTGAAGTCCTCAGGGTTTTCTATGTGAAGTATCATGACATCTGCAGACAGTAACAGTGTTAATGTTTTCCTTACCAATTTGGATGCCTTTTATTTCTTTTTTGTCTATTGTGCTAGGACTTCCAGTACTATGTAGAATAAAACTGGTGAGAGTACACATCTTTGCCTTGTTCCTGATTTTAGAGGAAAAACTCAATTTTTCACCATTGAGGGTGATGTTAGGTGTGTGTTTGTCTTTTTCTTTTTTTCTTTTTTAAAGATTGATTTGTTTGAGGGCTCCTGGGTGGCTCAGTTGGTTAAGCTTCTGCCTTCAGCTCAGGTTATTTTCCCAGGGTCCTGGGATTGAGTCCTGCTTCAGGCTCCCTGGTCCCTGCTCCACAGGGAGTCTACTTCTCCCACTGCCCTCCTCCCACTCGTTTTCTCAGTCTCTCTCTCTCAAATTAAAAAAAAAAAAAAAAAAATTTAGAGAGGGAGTGCATAAGTGAGCAGGGGGAGGGGCAGAGGCAAAAGTAGAGAGAGAATCCTGAAATAGACTCTGTGCTAACTCGGGACTCAATCCCAGGAACCTGAGATCATGATCTGAGTCAAAATCAAGAGTCAGCCTCTCAACCAACTGCGCCACCCAGGCAGTATATAACTTTCCGGACATTTCATATAAATGGAGTCACACAATTTGTAGTCTTTTGTGCCTGCATTCTTCTACATAACAATGTTTTCAGAGTTCATCCATGTTGTAGAATGTGTCATTACTTCATTCCTTTTTATGGCTGAATAATATTTCACTGTATGGATATATCACATTTTGCTCACCCATTCATTAGTTGATGAACATTGTGGATTGTTTCTATTCTTAATATTGAAAATAATGTTGTGGACATTGATGTACAAGTTTTGTTTTGTTTTGTTTTTGCTTTTTTGTTTGTTTGATGTACAAGTTTTGTGTGAACATATTCTTTGATTTCGCTTGGGTATATACCTAGAAGTGGAGTTGCTTGATCATATGATAAGTCTGTGTTTAATATCTTGAGGAACTACCAAACTGTTTCCCAAAGTGGCTTCACCATTTACATACTGAACAAACATGAGTATTCCAATTTTTCCACATCCTTGTCAACACTACTGTTGGTGACTATAGCCATCCTAGTGAGTATGAAGTCTTATGTCATTATGGTTTTGACCCTCATTTCCCTAATGATTAATGATTGAGTGTCTTTTCATCTGCTTATTGGCCATTTTTATTTCTTTAGAGAACTATTGGTTTCTCTAAATGTTGGATTCTTTGCCTAAGTTTTAATTGGGTTATCTATCTTTTTAGTATTGAGTTCTTAGATTTCTCCACTTACATATTTAAAGTCCAGTTTATTGAGATGTAAGTTCTATACAATAAAATTTGTCCTTTTAAGTGTATGATTCTATAGGTTTTGCAAATTTTCTGTACCTGTGTAACTGCCATCACAATCAAGATATAGGAAATTTCCATCACCTGAAAAAATCACCTTTTGAACCCTTTGTAGTCGGTCCCCTGCCTTTTCCTACACTCCTGACAACCACTGTTATGATTACCGTCCCTATAATTTTGTCTGCTCCAAAATGTCAAGTAAATGGAGTCGTATGGTATGAAGCTTTTTACGTCTGGCTTCTCTCACCTAGCATAATACTTCTAAGATTCATCCATGATGTTGCATGTATAACTAATGTGCTCCTGATACTACTGATTGAACAGTTACTTTGTGTTAGGCATTAATCTGAGAGTGCTTTATATATAGTTAAGCCTTGTAACACCCTATGAAATAAGTAATGTTGTCCCCATTTAACAGTTGAGAAAACTGAGGTAAAGAGGTTTATTGGCTTGCTCAGGGACATGAATGGCAGTTCTAGAATTTTCACTTGGGTCTGTCTGACGCCACTGCAATTAAACCCCTGCGCCTAGCCATTTTGATACACTGACTGAATACTTCAGGTATCATTTGGGGGCTTTTTGGATGTACAGGGGTTGTGATGCCTTTGGTATATTAATTTGTTAGTCTCAGTTTATAATAGTATATATAACTTTTTATTAACTAAAAATCAGCAATAGTGATTCGTTGTTAAGAATGGTGGTTAGGTATGCTTCCAGAAAGTGCACGTATACTTAGAAGCAAATAGAGGTGGATATTTTTTTCCTTTTCACTAATGGATTCATACTGTATACATACTTTTTTGCAGCTGGCTTTTTTCACTTGGTATTAGGGACAGATTGTAGTACAAATCTGTCTCATCCTCTTTAGCAATCCATGGTGTTTCAAAGTAGAGATGTACCATCATTTATTTAAACAGGTCTCTTGGTGAACATTTAGGTTGCTTCTTAATGCAATTGGTGTCTTTTTTATTTTTTAATACAATTATGGTTTTTTTTTTTAGATTTTATTTATTTATTATTTGACAGATAGAGATCACAAGTAGGCAGAGAGGCAGACAGAGAGAGAGAGAGAGGAGAAAGCAGGCTCCCTGCCGAGCAGAGAGCCCGATGCGGGGCTTGATCCCAAGACCCTGAGATCATGACCTGAGCCAAAGGCAGAGGCCTCAACCCACTGAGCCACCCAGGTGCCCCTGCAATAGGAATTTTGCAATGGACATCTTTATATATATTTAGATAAATTATTGTGTCAGAGGGTACAAACATTAAATATTTTGATAGGTGTACTCTGATTAGTTGTCAGAAACTTGTTATTTACTTATTTATACTTCTACCAAGAGTGAGTAAGTGATGAGCATTTGGCCATATGTTTTTGGACTTGGTTGGCAAAATTACTTGATATATTAAGGTATTTCAGCTGGTAGAATTTACATTTAGTTCATTTCCTAGTAAGTGTCACAGAATAGATCTGCAACTGAGGTTTATTGGATTTAAGAGATGTAGCATGTAACCCTGACATGGTGGATGGGCCATTTGTTTGTAGGTGAGTCTCACAGCTGATCTGTGCCTTAGTTTCCATTTCTGTAAAACGGGATGATCATTTTGCATTCTGCTTTCTGTGGGATGATGGGAGGATAAATGAAATTATTAGGTAAAGTGTTTTATAACCTTTTTACCAAAAAATTTATACGTTGGTGGTTATTTGTATCCTTAGGTATATAGAGATGAAAGAAGTAGCTTTTCCTCTTTTGACTTCTTGGGAGAAGATGCCTCCAATTTAATAGTAGGACATTGGAATGGAAATATATCACTGGTAGATAGACGGACACCTGGAACTTCTTATGAGAAACTTATCAATTCTTCTTTGAGCAAAATAAGAACTGTTCATGTCCACCCAGTGCACAGACAGTATTTTATCACTGCAGGATTGAGGTATGTTCTTCATAAAGTTTTGTGATTTACTCTTTTGAAGTTAGGAATACTGTTCTCTTTGTTTATTTTTTAAAGATTTATTCATTTGAGAGAGAGTGTGTTTGAGTACAAATGGGGAGGTGTGGTGCAGAGAGAGAGAAGGAGAGAGAGAGAATCTTCATGCAGACTCCCTGCTAAGTGCAGAGCTGAATGTGGGACTTGATCCCAGGACCTTGAGATTATGACCTGAGCTAAAACCAAGAGTCAGGTGTTTAACCGACTGAACCACCCAGGTGTCCTGAGGGACTACTGTAGTTTGGATGTTAAAGATAACTGATTTTTCTGATACTCATATACCTAAATGATTTTTCTGATACTCATTTACCTAAATAATTTTTCTTTCTACACCAATTGAAGTTTTATTGAATATGATTTTTTTTTAAAGATTTTATTTATTTATATGACAGACAGAGCACAAATAGAAAGAGGCAGGCAGAGAGAGAGCGGGAAGCAGGCTCCCCGTCGAACAGAGAGCCCAATGTGGGGCTTGATCCCAGGACCCTGAGATCATGACCTGAGCCGAAGCAGAGGCTTAACCCACTGAGCCACCCAGGAACCCCTGAATATGATTTTTTTTTTAGGAGAGATTCTTTTGGAAATAAAAAAGATTCTTTTGGATTTGGCATCATGTGAATTTACTTTTTTTTTTTTTTTAAACAGAAAAAAAGTCTTTAATAAATCAACTTGTTTTATCTCAATAATACTTAATGGATACATTGTTTTCTACACTTAGAATCCAGAGGTTGTTATTTTTTTTAATTTTTAATTTTTTATTAACAAATAATGTATTATTAGCCCCAGGGGTACAGGTCTGTGAATCGTCAGGTTTACACACTTCACAGCACTCACCATAGCACATACCCTCCGCAATGTCCATAACCCAACCATCCTCTCCCTACCCACCTCCCCCCGGCAACCCTTGGTTTGTTTTGTGAGATTAAGAGTCTCTTATGATTTGTCTCCCTCCCGATCCCATCTTGTTTCATTTTTTCCTTCCCTACCCCCTAAACCTTCCACTTTGCCTCTCAACTTCCTCACCAGGGAGATCATATAATAATTGTCTTTCTCTGATTGACTCATTTCACTCAGCATAATACCCTCTAGTTCCATCCACATCGTTGCAAATGGCAAGATTTCATTTCTTTTGATGGCTGCATAGTATTCCATTGTATATATATACCACATCTTCTTTATTCATTCATCTGTTGATGGACATCTAGTTTCTTTCCATAGTTTGGCTGTTGTGGACATTGCTGCTACAAACATTTGGGTGCACATGCCCCCTTCAGATCACTACATTTGTATCTTTAGGGTAAATACCCAGCAGTGCGATTGCTGGGTCATAGGATAGCTCTATTTTCAACTTTTTGAGGAACCTCCATGCTGTTTTCCAGAGTGGTTGCACCAGCTTGCATTCCCATCAAAAATGTAGAAGGGTTCCCCTTTCTCTGCATCCTCTCCAACATCTGTTGTTTCCTGACTTGTTAATTTTAGCCATTCTGACTGGTGTGAGGCGGTATCTCATTGTGGTTTTGATTTGTATTTCCCTGATGCCGAGTGATATGGAGGACTTTTTCATGTGTCTCTTGGCCATCTGGATGTCTTCTTTGCAGAAATGTCTGTTCATGTCCTCTACCCATTTCTTGATTGGATTATTTGTTCTTTGGGTGTTGAGTTTGATAAGTTCTTTATAGATTTTGGATACTAGCACTTTATCTGATCTATCATTTGCAAATATCTTCTCTCATTCTATCAGTAATCTTTTGGTTTTGTTGATTGTTTCCTTTGCTGCGCAGAAGCTTTGATCTTGCTGAAGTCCCAATAGTTCATTTTTGCCCTTGCTTCCGTTGCCTTTGGTGATGTTTCTAGGAAGAAGTTGCTGTGGCTGATGTCAAAGAGTTTGCTGCCTGTGTTTCCTGGAGGATTTTGATGGATTCCTGTTTTGCATTGAGGTCTTTCATCCATTTTGAGGCTATTTTTTGCATGGTGTAAGGAAATGGTCCAGTTTCATTTTTCCGCATGTGGCTGTCCAATTTTCCCAATACCATTTGTTGAAGAGACTGTCTTTTTTCCATTGGACATTCCTTCCTGCTTTGTCAGAGATTAGTTGACCATAGAGTTGAGGGTCCATTTCTAGGCTCTCTATTCTGTTCCATTCATCTGTGTGTCTGTTTTTCTGCTAGTACTATACTGTCTTGATGATGACAGCTTTATAATAGAGCTTGAAGTCTGGAATTGTGATGCCACCAACTTTGGCTTTCTTTTTCAATATTCCTCTGGTCTTTTCTGAGTCCGTATAAATTTTAGGATTATTTGTTCCATTTCTTTGAAAAAAATGGATGGTATTTTGATAGGGATTCCATTAAACGTGTAGATTGCTTTAGGCAGCATAGACATTTTGACAATATTTGTTCTTCCAATCCATGAGCATGGAACATTTTTCCATTTCTTTGTGTCTTCCTCAATTTCTTTCATGAGTACATTATAGTTTTCTGAGTACAGATTCTTTGCCTCTTTGGTTAGGTTTATTCCTAGGTGTCTTATGGTTTTGGGTGCAGTTGTAAATGGGATTGACTCCTTTATTTCTCTTTCTTCTGTCTTGTTGTTGTATTGTCTTGGTGTATAGAAGTGCAACTGATTTCTGTGCATTGATTTTATATCCTGACACTTTACGGAATTCCTGTACAAGTTCTAGAAGATTTGGAGTGGAGTCTTTGGGTTTTCCACATAAAACCCACATCTGCAAAGAGTGATAGTTTGACTTCTTTGCTAATTTGGATGACTTTAATTTCTTTTTGTTGTCTGATTGCTGAGGCTCGGCATGATATTTGCGGTGGGTTTTTCATAGATGGCTTTGATGATATTGAGGTATGTACCCTCTATCCCTACATTTTGGAGAGTTTTGATCAAGAAAGGATGCTGTACTTTGTCAAATGTACTTTTCAGCATCTATTCAGAGTATCTTATGATTCTTGTTCTTTCTTATATTAATGTATTGTATCACATTGATTGATTGATTTGCAGATGTTGAACTAACCTTGCAGCCCTGGAATAAATCCCACTTGGTTGTGGTGAATAATTCTTTTAATGTACTGTTGGATCCTATTGGCTAGTATTTTGGTGAGAATTTTCACATCTGTGTTCATCAAGGATATTGGTCTGTAATTCTCTTTTTTGATGGGGTCTTTGTCTGGTTTTGGGATCAAGGTAATGCTGGTCTCATAAAATGAGTGAGGAAGTTTTCCTTCCATTTCTTTTTTTGGAACAGTTTCAGGAGAATAGGAATTAATTATTCTTTAAATGCTTGGTAGAATTCCCCTGGGAAGCCATTTAGCCCTGGGCTTTTGCTTGTTGGGAGATTTTTGATGACTGCTTCAATCTCCTTACTAGTTATGGGTCTGTTCAGGTTTTCTTTTTCTTCCTGGTTCAGTTGTGTTAGTTTATATGTCTCTAGGAATGCATCCATTTCTTCCAGATTGTCAAATTTGCTGGCGTATAGTTACTCATGATATGTTCTTATAATTGTTTGTATTTCTTTTGTGTTGGTTGTGATCTCTCCTCTTTCATTCATGATTTTATTTATTTGGGTTCTGTCTTGTTTTTGTTAAGTCTGGCCAGGGGTTTATCAATCTTATTAATTCTTTCAAAGAACCAGCTCCTAGTTTCGTTGATTTGTTCTATTGTTTTTTTTTGTTTGTTTGTTTCTATTTCATTGATTTCTGCTCTGATCTTTATGATTTCTCTTCTCCTGCTGGGTTTAGGCTTTCCTTGTTCTTTCTCCAGCTCCTATAGGTGTAAGGTTAGGTTGTGTATTTGAGACCTTTCTTGTTTCTTGAGAAAGTTTTGTATCACTATATATTTTCTTCTCAGGACTGCCTTTGCTGTGTCCCATAGATTTTGAACAGTTTTGTTTCCATGAATTTTTTCAGTTCGTCTTTAATTTCCTGATTGACCCATTCATTCTTTTGTAGGATGCTCTTTAGCCTCCATGTCTTTGGGTTCTTTCCAGATTTCCTCTTGTGATTGAGTTCTAGCTTCAGAGCATTCTGGTCTGAAAATATGCAGGGAATTATCCCAGTCTTTTTGTACTGATTGAGATCTGATTTGTGATCCAGGATATGATCTATTCTGGAGAATGTTCCATTTGCATTAGAGAAGAATGTGTATTCTGTTGCTTTGTGATGGAATGTTCTGAATATATCTGTGACGTCCATCTGGTCCAGTGTGTCATTTAAGGCCTTTATTTCCTTGTTGATCTTTTGCTTGGATGATCTGTCCATTTCAGTGAGGGGAGTATTAAAGTCCCCTACTATTATTATATTACTGTTGATGTGTTTCTTTGGTTTTGTTATTAATTGGTTTATATAGTTGGCTGTTCCCACATTAGGGGCATAGATATTTAAAATTATTAGGTCTTCTTATTGGACAGACCCTTTCAGTATGATATAGTGTCCTTCCTCATCTCTTATTATAGTCTTTGGCTTAACATCTAATTTATCTGATACAAGGATTGCTACCCCAGCTTTCTTTTGATGTCCATTAGCATAGTAAGTTGTTTTCCACTCCCTCACTGTAAATCTGAAGGTGTCTTTGGGTCTAAAATGAGTTTCTTGTAGACAGCATATTGATGGGTTTTGTTTTTTTATCCATTCTGATACCCTGTGTCTTTTGATCAGGGTATTTAGCCCATTTACATTCAGGGCAACTCATGAGAGAGATGAATTTAATGCCATTTTATTGCCTGTAAGGTGACTGTTACTGTATATTGTCTCTGTTCCTTTCTGGTCTACTACTTTTAGGCTCTCTCTTTGCTTAGAAGACCCTTTTTAGTATTTCCTGTGGAGCTGGTTTGGTGTTTACAAATTCCTTTAGTTTTTGTTTGTCCTGGGAGCTTTTTATCTCTCCTTCTATTTTCAGTGATAGCCTAGCTGGATATAGTATTCTTGGCTGCATGTTTTTCTCATTTAGTGCTCTGAGTATATTGTGCCAGTTCTTTCTGGCCTGCCAGGTCTCTGTGGATAAGTGTGCTGTCAATCTAATATTTTTACCACTGTATGTTACAGACTTCTTGTCCCGGGCTGCTTTCAAGATTTTCTGTTTGTCACTAAGACTTATAAGTTTTAGTATTAGATGATGGGGTATGGACCTATACTTACTGATTTTGAGGGGGATTCTCTGCACCTCCTGGATTTTTATGTTTGTTCCCTTTGCCATATTAGGGGAATTCTCTACAATAATTCATTCCAATATACCTTCTGCCCCCCTCTCTTTCTTTTTCTTCTGGAATCCCAATTATTCTAATATTGTTTCATCTTATGGTATCACTTACCTCTTGAATTCTCCCCTTGGGTCCAGTAGTTGTTTGTCTCTCCTTTGCTCAGCTTCTTTATTCTGTGTCATTTCGTCTTCTATATCACTAATTCTCCCTTCTGCCTCGTTTATCCTAGCAGTAAGAGCCTCCGTTTTTTATTGCACCTCATTAATAGCTTTTTTGATTTCAGCTTTGTTAGACTTTAGTTCTTTTATTTCTCCAGACAGGTTACTCTAATATCTTCCATGCCTTTTTTGAGCCCAGCTAGCACCTTGAAATCATCATTCTGAACTCTAGATCTGACATAATACCAATGTCCATATTTATTAGGTCCCTAGCCTTCGGTACTGCCTCTTGTTCTGTTTTTTTGTGGTGAGTTTTTCCACCTTGTCATTTTATGCAGATAAGAATATATGAACGAGAGAATAAAATACTAGAAGGGTGGGAAAGACCCCTGAAAAATGTGCGTCAGCCAAATCAGAAGAGACACCAAATCATGGGGAGAAGAAAGGGCATAAAAAGTTCAAAAAAATTAAAAAAAGAAAATATATATATTAGACTGGTGAATAGAACAGAATCACCCACTTGATTTTGGGAGTATTTTGGTCTCTTAGAAGAAACTACCCTCCAAAATTTTAAAGAAAGAAAGAAATGGAAATACACACACACACACACACACACACATAAGGGTAAACACGATGAAGGGATGGAATATGACTGTAAAGATGAAAATTTTTAAAAAATTCTAAGAATGGAGTTGATAAGTTGGTTGGGAAAAGAAAGAAAAAGAAAGTGGGGAGAATTTGCTCAGGCTGGAGACTAGAACAAACTCTGTGCTAGATTTAGGGTATATTTTGATCTATTAGATGTATCCCCAAATTTTTTTTAGAAGAAAAAACTGTGTATACAAAAAATAAAGGTAGATACAGTGAAGGATAAAATATGCCTATAATAATGAAGGTTCAAAAAGATTTTTTTTAAGAAAGGTATTGTTAAGAGAAATTAGTTAAAAAAACGTTAGAAGAGGAAAGAGTAAAAGTTAAAAAAATTAGAATAAGCAAAAAATAAAATTAAAAAAAATTTAACTTTGCAAGACTAAAGAATCATGGGGAGAAAGCCATTAATTCTGTGCTTTGCTTTCCCCTTCTCTGGAATTCCACTGGTCTCCTTGATCAGTGAGCTTGGTCTTGCTGATCTTCTGGGGGAGGGGCCTGTTGTGATTCTCAAGTGTCTTTGCCTGAGGTGGAATTGCTCTGCCCTTGCCAGGGGCCGGGCTAAGTAATCTGCGTGGGTTTGCTCTTGGGAGCTTTTGTTCCCTGAACACTTTCTGAGGAGCTTTGGAGGACAGGAATGAAAATGCCGGCCTCCCAATCTTCGGCCCTGAGGAGCTGAGATCCCAGGGCCCCACTCCTCAGTGAGCCCTCGGAGAAAAGTGCTCAATCACTCCCATCTTCCTGGTCTCTGGAGGCTCTCTGAGCTCACCCAGCCTGTTATCAAGCGTTTCTGTCTCTGGCACACAGCCCCTTTGGAGTCTCTAAACCTAGCAGATCCCTGCTGCTCTTCCAGGGGGATCTCCCCAGATCTGCCACTTATGGGTTCCCTGCTCAAAGAGCAGTGGCCTGACTGTGTTGTCAGAGATCACAGTTTAAGGTAACCGTGAACTGAGAGCTCACTCCTCTGCTCTGTCTCAGTAGCTGGTTTTCCCCCTCTAATACCCGTGAGCTCTGCCATACTCAGACACCCCTGATCCTTCTGTGACCCCGTGGGACCTGAGACCACACTGTCCTTGCGAGGGCTCCATCCCCGCTTAGCCTCTGGAGCAATGTCCCTCAGTGGAGCAGACTCTAAAAGTTCTGATTTTGTGCTCCATTGCTCCACTGCTTGCTGGGAGCCGGCCCCTCCCACCGTGGTCTGTCTTCCCATTGCTTCAGATTCACTTCTCCACAGGTCCTGCCTTTCAGAAAGTGGTTGATTTTCTGTTTTTAGAATTGTTGCTCTTCTTCTCTTCGATCTTCTGTTGGATTTGTAGGTGTTTGGAATGGTTTGATAACTATCTAGCTGATCTCCTGCTACCTGATGTCGTCTCAGCCTGCTACTCCTCTGCCATCTTGACTCCTCCCCCACCTTTTTTTTTCCTTAAAGATTTTATTTATTTATTTGAAATAAAGAGAACATGAGCAGAGGAGGGGGCAGAGAGAAGGAGAAGCAGACTCTCCGCTAAACAGGGAGCCCAGTGTGTGGCTTGATCCCAGGAACCCCGAGATCACAACCTGAGCCAAAGGCTGACGCTTAACTGACTGAGCCACCCAAAGCGCCCACATACGCATTTACTTCTAGTTGTTTTGAGAAGAAAACTTGTTAAAAAAAAAAAAAAAAAGTTATATGTGACCTATAACTTGGTCTGTGTTTATTTTTTTCTCAGAGAGATTGGAAAACCAACTAGAATCTTGTCTCTATATATCCACTGGCTTCATATATGTTCTGTAGTTATGGCATTTTTCTAATATTTCATTTTTTATCTATACAGTGTTTGTAAAATTATTCCAGATCAGAATGTTCCTCAGTGTAATGAGTATTTGAGTGTCTGTGTTCAGCGCTGTTTGAGAGCTCACTACATGTACTGTGCAACACTGAGAATTATTCCTCCCCTTACAGGGATATTCATATTTATGATACAAGGTACCTGAATCCCAGGAAAAGCCAGCCTTTGATTTCTTTAACGGAACACACGAAGAGCATCGCTTCTGCCTATTTTTCACCTCTTACTGGTAACAGAGTAGTGACCACATGTGCTGATTGTAAGCTGAGGTAAATTGGGGAGATAGAAATGCATTGTTAAGGAATCTAGAGTCTGTAGCTACTGTGTAAACCAGTAGCTTTGTTTACTACTGCTCCCAATTAAATTGCTAGTATTGTTTTGTAGCCATTTCTATGTTGCTGGCCAAATCAGTAACCTGTATTTCATGGGTTTTCAGCAGTTTTAGGATCTGGAAATTTCCTTGCGTTTGGCAGGGAAGGTCTACAGGGAGTAGATGTCAGGCTTCCCTTTCAGCACTGAGTGATCCCAGAAGTCTCAGGAAAACCAGGCTTGTGATATGTTGGAAGAAGGATAATTTTAGCATCAGGACAGACTCTTAGGTTGGGGCTAGTGGCGCCTACCCTTCACATGAAGTGCTGAGTGGAAACTGCAGAGTCCCAGGCCAGGGGCAGGCAGAAAAGATAGCAATAATTGGGCTTTTGTACAAACCACTGGATACAGTTTTTACAGTTTTAGCTTTGGTGCCTTTCTGTAGCTACTTCCTAAAAATGGATTTAAAAATGTGATCTAAACCAACTGAACCAAAAATAGAAAATAATGACAATAAAAAATGTGGAGAATGTTAATACAACCACAGAGGAAATGCTTTTGTTCTCTTTTTTTATTCCTGATTTTGCTTAGCATTGTAAGCATTTGTCATTTTATAATTTTACCTTAAATAATTCTGGAATTCATTCATTATTCATTCAACAAGTATCTGTTGGATGTATACTGTGGGCCAAGCTCTAGAAAGGCACCTCATTTCTGTTTAGACTTTTCTGTTGGGAAGAGCATGGTCCTTACTTTGTGACAGGTGTCCATTTTCTAGTAAAGTCTGTGAGCATTACCAGGTGGGTGTATTGAGATTTAGTCACTAGGCAGTGGCAGTCCAGTGTCTCCTTTTTACCCATACAGTTTTCTTTGTATAAGAAGCTACCTGTATTTTAACCATTCTGTTCATTTGTACTGCAGAGTTTACATTAGCTGTTAGTGATTTAGTTTTCTAGTAATCTGATTAGGCAATAAGCTGTAGGTGCCAAGAAACTACATTGGAATAGCTAGGTGCAAGAAGGGGGAGGTGATGTGATGTGGTTAGTTTCTTTCTGTTAGGGTACCTGGTGTAGGCTCCTGGACTCTTTGAGCTACCCCACAAGAACTCCCCATGGTTGCTGGTCAGTCGTAGTCTTACCAGCCTGTGGAAGTGACACTGTTAGTCCCTCAACTAATGAGTCTCCTGGGGAAATTGCTCTTGATATGTGCAAAAATTTTTAGGTTATTTGTACGTTTTCAGACCATATCCCTTTATAGATGGTCTGTAATTATTGTGAATCTCAATATAGGATCCAGAGTATTACTTTATAATATGCATTTTAAATTTAGTGTAATAGTGTTTAAATAAATTATTTCTTCACCAAACTGTAAAGTTCTGAATTTTATAATAATTTTTGTAATTTTTGTTAAATATATTAGCTGAAGTTTATTAAAGCCTGATCCTGTGTATTTTAAAATAGCAATCATATTTCGTGTCATGAACCAGTGAAAAACTTGCTAAATACACTGATTTTCTTTCAGAAAATTTTTAAGAAACAGTAAAAAGTGTGTTACTTTGTTCTTGATTTTTGTTTTGCAGAATCTTTGACAGCAGCTGTATATCCTCTGAGATTCCTTTGCTCACTACCATCAGGTAGGTTTCCATATATGTTAGACATCTGATTGTCAAAATGATGTAGTAGGTCTGAATTTTTGTATTACATATTTTAAGTGTCCCAGGTTGCTAGTTCCTATCCAGAAGGGTTCTTGCTTCCAGGTTCTCTCCATCTTCAAAGGGTTCAATCTCTTTTAGTCCATAGCTATTCTTTGCAGCTGGGTGGTTATTTTTGGTTAAGGTGAATGACTTTATTCCACTTGAATTACTCCTGTTCTCTTATTAAGGAAAATCGTAACCTCTTACCGGCTGTGAGGCCATCTAAAGCTCTTTTGTTTATACCTGTTTGTTGTGGACTTAAAGGGTTTCCCTACCTTCCCACTTACACTTTCTCTAGTTACCTTCTTTTTGCATCTGCTACTTTAATGTATGTATTTTATATCCAACTTCAGTGCCATCTTCTAGACATCCCTCTTTAGCAGTATTTGTGAAGTTGGGACCAGAGTGTGCCTTATATGTTAATTGTTATATCATGCATTTTAAAGTCTGTGGAGGCTACATTTAAATGTGTTTGTTTCCTTTTTTACAAATTGTCCCATCTTCATTTCCTTTTTCAATCTTTATGCCCATTAAACATTGATTCTTCTCTCTCCCTTCCATTACTTGGCAGCCATCTTTCTACTTTACATTTCTGTGATTTTAACTACTTTAAACACTTGATGTGAGTGGAATCATGGTATTTGTCATTCTGTGACTAGCTTATTTCACTCAACATCGTGTCCTCAGTGTTCCCTTATGTTCTAGCATGCGACTTCCTCCCTTTTTAAGGCTGCATAATATTCATTGTATGTATATACCACATTTTGTTTATCCATTCATCTGTCGATGGACAGTGGGTTTGTTTCTACATCTTGGCTATTGTAAATGATCCTGCAGTGAACATGGATGTGCAAATATCTCTTCAAGATCCTGCTTTGAATTCTTTTGGATATATACCCAGGAAGAGGAATTTTTTAATTTTTTGAGGAACCTCCATATTGTTTTTCTGTAGGGGCTGCACCGTTTACATTCCTACCAGCAGTGCACCAGAGTTCTAATTTCTCTTTATGTTAATCATTCTACTCTTTTATTGTGATTATCTAAATGGTTGTGAGGTAATATCTCATTGTGGTTTTGATTTGCATTCTTATTGAACATTTTTTTCATGTTTTTTGGTCATTTATGTATCTTTGTCAAATTGTCTCTTCAAGTCTTGTCCACTTTTGAATTGGGTCATTTTTGTTTTGAGTTGTGGGGAGTTCCTTACATATTATGCATATTAACCCCTTATCAAATATATGATTTGCAGAGATTTTCCACTGTTTGGGGGGTTGTCTTTCACTCTGTTGATTGTTTGCTTTGGTGCACAGAGTTTTTGAGTTTAATATAGTCCTGTTACTTCTTTTTCTTGTCCAATTGATTATCAAGTGACTGTTGAGAATGTCCTCCTTATCAAATACTTGTTGGTGTAGTTGTGATGCCTCACATGCAGGAACTGGCTATCTGTGTAGTTGTGAACACCTGGAATTTAGGTTAGTGTCTCTTGTCCTTCCAGATTTCCAATAGTATGTTGGATAGAGATGGCAAGAGTGGGCATCTTTGCCTTTTTCCTGCTCTTTGAGGAAAAGTTTTCAGTCTTTAACCTTTGAGTATGACGTTAGCTGCGGGCTTTTCACATATAGTCTTTATTATGTTGAGATAATTTCCTTCTATTCCTAGTTCATTGAATGTTTTTATCGTGAAAAAGGGTATTGATTTCGGGGCACCTGGGTGGCTCAGTGGGTTAAGCCTCTGCCTTCAGCTCAGGTCATGATCTGAGAGTCCTGGGATCGAGCCCTGCATTGGGCTTTCTGCTCAGCAGGGAGCCTGCTTCCCCCTCTCTCTGCCTGCCTCTCTGCCTACTTGTGATATCTCTCTGTGACAATAAATAAAATCTTTTTTTAAAAAAAAAGAAAGGGTATTGATTTTGTCAGATGATTTTTCTGTATCTGTTGAAATGATCATATTATTTTTGTCTTTTATTCTCTTAATTTGTTATATTCTATCAAATGAGTTTTGTGTGTAAATCATCCTTGTATTCTAGGTATAGCTCCAACTTGGTCATGGTGTATAATCCTTTAAATGTGCTATTGAGTTCATTTTGTTAGTATTTTGTTGAGAATTTTTGCATCAGTATTCATTAGGGATGTTAGTTTGTCATTTTATTTTATTTACTTATTTATTTTAGGTATTTTATTTATTTGACAGAGAGCACAAGTAGGCAGAGCAGCAGGCAGAGGGAGAGGGAGAAGTAGACTCTCCGCTGAACAGGGAACCCGATCCCACATCGGGCTTCCTGCTCAGCAGGGAGTTTGCCTCTCCCTTTCTCTTTGCCCCTCTATCCACTTACGCTCTCTCTCAAATAAATAAATAAATAAATAAAATAAAGTTGTATGGAATATAAAATGATTTCAGGGTTTGGTTATCGGGGAATACAAATATGGGATTATAGATTCTATTAAAATAGCAGTAACATAGATTATATATTTTTTACTTCTAGGGCTTCTGTTTTGTATGCGTAAAAAAAGGGAGGGCATGGAGTCCATTGAGCTAAGAAACAGTGAACAAAAAAGGTGCTATTTTAATAGACAGTGACCATCCACTGAGTACAACCACTAGGCAGTGGAGATTCAGAAGTACAGAAGACATCATCTCTGTCCTGATTTCATTTTTATATGAAATTAAGCTGATGGTAACTCAGTAACTTAATGAAAAGAAACTTGGCAGAGAATACCAGCATTTAGGAGTAATGCCATGTTTACCTTGCTGCTTTTAGTTATTTAACACTATCCTTTAAAAAAATTGTGTTTTTCACTAGGCACAACACTATCACTGGGCGATGGCTGACCAGGTTTCAGGCTGTGTGGGACCCTAAACAAGAAGACTGTGTTATCGTTGGCAGCATGGCTCATCCACGACGTGTGGAAATCTTCCATGAGTCAGGACAGCAGGTGCATTCTTTTTTTGGTGGAGAAAGTCTGGTCTCTGTGTGTTCCATCAACACTATGCACCCAACTCGGTATATTTTGGCTGGAGGTAATTCCAGTGGAAAGATACATGTTTTTATGAATTAAGAAAGTTGCTGAGTGTTTGGTTTAGCAACATCAAAATTGGTTCAAATTAATCAGTATCTAAGGAGCCTAGTAATTCATGTGGCTTGGCCTTTTTAAAAATATGTTCTATTTAGTTAATATAAAATTGCTTTATTAATAAGAACTGTGAGCAGAATGTATAGTTACATACTTACATGTTTAGTAAGGGAGAAGCCTTTTAAGTCATTTCTGTAGATTGGGAAAGGAATTTGAGGGGAGGCTGTGATGTCTTCAGCACTTTTAATCAGGCAGTATGTTGAGAAATTCTAGCATTATAAATTACAAAGCTTTGAATGATCAGTATTAAAAGTTCTTGTAGTTTCACGATACGGTTTTGCTTCTGTAGTGATACTTGGATTTGTGGTTTATTTCATAGTTTGGAGTAAATATTTCTAGACTCACACTGGAAGGGATCCTGAAAGGTCATCTAACTTAGTGATTATGAAACTTCTTATTTTTTAATGGAGAATTCTTTTTTTCCCCCTCCTGCCTTTAAATTAAATTTTATGTGAAATCCCAAGATACTTGTTGAGAAGCCTTGGTTCACTTGGGCAGGGGCCCGTCTTTGTGTGCTGACCCTTTTACCTCCTCTAGATGGCTCCTGAAGCATGGCCAAGGAATCGTAGGGCTTCTAGGAACAGGGTTTGGATCTGCCTGACCTTGTAATCCAATGTGAGATTGCTTTCAGACCAGTGTTTTCCAGACTGGCTTGTAGCTATTCACATGAAATCCATGTAGCCATGACCAGTCTTTAAAAAAAAGGAAAAGGAAAGGAATAGTAAAGAATAATAAATGTAATGGATAAGTGTTGTTTTGTGAAATTTAGTTATATGTGCTTACATATATGTAACTGTATATGAATATGCATATTCCGATGTAAAACATATGTGTTTATTACTGTGGTACACTGTGGGTCATGGTTAAAGAAGTGAAAACTCCTGCCTTAGAAGGTCCCAGAGATCTTTCTTTATCTGTCCTTGTCTTTAAACTCTCCAGAGGAGATTCATTAGCCTTATTTTAAGTCAATACCTTCATTCCTAAGTCATATTGGGGGGAAATGTTATGATAAATCACTTTTGGCATTTTGTCATAAACTTTTTTTTCAGAAGTTAGTGCTGTGTGAATGTGTTTGTTGGAAGGGTAGCTGCTTAGCTCAGTGACTAACATTTCTGTGTGATAGCACCTATCTGAATTTTTTAATTACTCTTCATTGCCAAACTACTACTGAAAGACTATTGTAAATAGTTTTTGGCAATATGTTTGAATTCTAAGAGAAAATATCTTTTCAAATTATATATCACAGAAATAAAATGACATGTATAGTTTCCTTCTCTGTAATTAGAGTTTAAGTCTAATTTTGAGGCCTAGTTTATTAAGTAGGTTGTGAGTGTGTATAAGTAATAAGAGTTCTCTATTTTCTTGATGATAGGAATATAGGAATTGGTAAGTGAAATGGAAAATTAATTTATGAAATGGAAAGTAAAGCTAAGTGAGGTTGACTTCTATTAAACTTCCCTGGAGATAGTAAATGAAGCCTGTAGGCTTCCTCTCCCTTTTTTATACTTCATTTCACAGTTTCCAGAGTGGCAACTTCTTTGAGAATTGCTTTTTTTTTTTTAAACGATATTGAAAAATACTCGCGTCAAAGTTAGTACCATCATTTAAGCTTTGAATTCTTGGTGGTAATTGTCTGGTTTCTGCAATAAATGTTAGCAAATTCTTGATGTTTCTCACTTTCGTGGTTTTTTTTTTCCCCCCCATTTCAGCTTCATAAACTCTGCTATTTATATTTAATTCCACTTAATAGAGTTCTGTCTTCTTGAGGCAATGCAGGAAGGAAGGAGAGTGGGGGGACTTGTTTCTCCGTGACAAGCTGTATAATGGAGAAATTGTTTAAATCTAGAAAGCACATAAAGGAAAATTGTCTCCCTTAGGACATCTTTAAACTGTAATCTGTTGTGAAAGGTACTTCTCCCAGAGATTTGCTTAAAGCTGTGTGGCTACTGTAATTGTTTGTATATTTTGATTGCTCTCTCTTTTTGGGATAAACTTTTTTTTTTTTAGGTTATGCTTTATGATATCCCTTAAGCATGTAAGCTCTCTCTTCCCCTTGAGTCATTTTCTTTGAGATGCCCAGCCTTTCTTTATGTGACTTTAAGGAGGAAGGAGAGGATTCTCATCATATGTGGACAGGTAGGTGATACTATAGATGATCAGGAATTGATAAAATCTGATTGATTCAGTCCTATTTTGGTATTCAGGTCTTTGAATTTCCTTTCCACAGAGATGACTTTGAAAAGGCAGTTCTCCAGGAAAGCAGGGAGCTTAAGGGCTGTGATTACAGAGATTTAAATCTTTTCAGTCAGTTACAATACATGGGAAGTGGGGAGGGCAGGCACATGTGCCTTCTATATCAAACCCAAGAGGAAGAAATATATGCCCTCTAACTCCAGATTCCAAAAATCTAAGTGGCTATTTGTTAGGCTGTCCCTTCTCACTTCGTACTTCTTTTGGTTTTTCCTTTGTGGTATTGTGCTGAAGGCCAGTAAGGAGTTTTAGTTCCAGGACAGCATAGATCCATATTTGGGTTCATTTGGCTATAAATGTTTTTGGATTTTCAAGTGAAAAGGTGAAATTTTGTGAGGAAGATAACATTTAGTCAGGAGTAAAACATTTTAAGGTATCTCTTCCTAAAATGGAAGATGTAGGAGGAAACGTTTTAAAAGTATCTTTTGCATGTTTGATTCCACTCCATCAGCAAGTTGTAAGGGTAGAGGAAGAGGGTATGGGTATGTAGAGGAAAGGAAGCCTGTTCATGAACTAAAACCAGCAATGTAATCATGTGCGGAGGGGCTTAGTTATGGTTGAGGAACCCTAAGCAGAGGGACTGGGTGGTGGATCCAGCCCTAAAAGGGTATATACATAGGGGAGTCTTCATTAGGAATCCAGAGAAGAGTGGCTGCTTTAAAGCCTTGGATCATGGGCAATCACTCACATCCAGTGGTTCTTCGGCTTTTCTCTCTGCAGATGACTTTAAGTAAAGACTTTTGTCATCAAAAAAACACTCCACTAAGACAGGATCCTAGATATCATTTTATAGGTGATAGGAACTTCTGAAAATTTGGAGGTGAGTAATATAACCTGATCGGTGCTTTAGGAAGATGATCTGGTAGCAGAATGGAGCATTGAAGGGCAGGTAGAAATGAAAACAGAAATAATAAACTAGCACAGTTGAACCTAGTTTCAACTTTTATCAGGGAATTTAGAAGACCATTACCAGTTCCATAGCCTGAGTGATGGTTACATAATCAGGTGAGATAATGTTATAGGAATGTAGTTTGTAAGTTGTAATTATGAGGTTACTATAGTGGTGACACCATTCTGTTCCTTTCACAGGAAGGGTTTTCTGTTCTCCCTCTTACTTCAGGCTTGAGTAAGAACACTGGTCTAGAAGCTAGACCATCTAGGTTTCTTTTTAATTTTAATTGTATCTTTAAGATTTTAAAAAAATTAAAAAAATTTTAACTAATCTCTTTACCCACTATAGGGCTCAGGCTCAAAACCCTGAGATCAAGAGTCTTATGCTTTACCTACTGAGCCAGCCAGGTACCCTGGACCATCTAGGTTCTACTTTTGGGTTCTAAGACTGACTATGTAGCCTTGGGAAAATTACTCCTTGGTTTTCCTCATGAGAAAAATGAGATCCAATTCATCTGTAAAATCATTCCATTATTACAGCTTCCAAGTTTATTTATTTATTTATTTATTTATTTATTTGACAGAGATCACAAGTAGGCAGAGAGGCAGGCAGAGAGAGAGGAGGAAGCAGGCTTCCTGCCGAGCAGAGAGCCCGATGTGGGGCTCGATCCCAGGACCCTGGGATCATGACCTGGGCCGAAGGCAGAGGCTTTAACCCACTGAGCCACCCAGGCGCCCCAGCTTCCAAGTTCTTAATCGTATTTATTTGTGGGGAGGGACAAGGATAATGGATGGATATAAGCCAAATGACTCTTTTAAGTGATTCTAGTCATGAACAGTAGTAGTCAGCTGTAACAATACCGCTGGTATCTTTTTATCTACATGTTGGTAACTTTGAGGAAAAAGTGAGACAAGCTAGAAGTTAAAAAAAGAGTCCACTCTTCCATGATATTTAAATATTTATTTAAGTTTAAAAATAATTTTCATGGCACCAATGATTTTATGCTAACTACATACTGCATATGTAGAAAAAAGTACATTGCTTTGAAGGAAAAATGTAACTTAGAATTTTTGGCACACGAAAGGTTAACAACTATACTTTTTAATGAAACTAAGAAATTCACATTTGCAGGTAGTTTACCTTCTACTGCTTAAAGATGCAGTACACTATTTTTTTTGTAAGAGTTTTATTTCCTTTGATGGATGAAGCTATGGAAACCATTGTTTTATTTTCTACAATGAGATCAAACTAATTTTGAGAGAAAATGGGAGACATAGTGGAACACAGTTAAAACCAGGTTAAAAATTTGAACAATGTTTAATGATGAGGAGATACCAAAAAAAGACTAGTCATCAACAAAGGAGGTTTGTTATTCAAGCAGTATTTGAAAAGCAAATCGAAGGAGACTTTACTATCTGTATTTTCTGGGGTAAGCCCTGGAAAAAACCCAAAAATTCTGTTCAGAGAGCAAACTCCAGCTCTTAGAAGTGGTATGGACTATTATTTTGTTAGAACTCTAGACACAAGTAACGTACCAGGAAATGGAATACTGCATCTTTCTTTAATGTGAGTATGAAAGGTCAGTGTCAAGGCTATCACTCACTGCATAGAAACACCATATTCTACAGACTGAGGTAGGAACACTACACTAAAAGATAATCTGCTATGTTGCATAAGACAGTAGATATCCAGGTTAAAACCAGCCCCCTATCTCCTGACAGCCTTTTCATTCTCTGAGTCTACTTTTCACTTCAGTCCTGTGCTAAATAAAGCTTTTCCTGTGTAGATGACAAGTGGCAGTGGCTAGTTGGTTCTGAGTGATCCCTGATTTTTACTAGGATCTCCCTCAGTTTGTCTTGTCACTTGGTAAATAGATGTTTGTAATTCTGCCCAAATTGTTGCTGGTATGAAAATGATCAGACATTCTTCTTCCATTCTTAGATTCTGGCCGAGTTTTAGCATTTCAACACTTGATCTTGCTCATCTTGGCATCAGATACCTCTTTGCTGGTTGGTTGTTCAAGCACCCTTTATACAAACATCCCCAGTTTTGCCACTGGGAAATGGTCCTGGATCTGTAGCAAGTCAGGAATGGGAGCAGAGCTGGCCCTCTTTCTGCTAACATACTGGTAAGGAGCAGTTTTATTGTCTAGATGGGGTTGGCAAATTATGGCCTATGGTCCAAATTCAGCTCATTATCTATTTTTAGAAATAAATTTTTATTGGAACACAGTCACACTCCTTTGTTTATGTATTACCTGTGGATGGCTGTTTTTGTGCTATGACGGCAGAATTGAGTAGTTGCTACAGAGTAGGGCCTACAAAACCAAACTAAAAAAATATTATCTGGCACTTTACAGTAGTTTGCCAACCCCTAGTCTAGATGAAGGGGCATTTAAAATTACACAATCCACTCCCCCACCCTGTGGCCCCTATTAATTCTACAGCTGTTATACTCTGTACATGGACATGATTCTGCTATTTCAGAGGACAAACTAGGGGAGAGCAAACCTACAAGTGACTCATTCTGTTCTGCATTTGGGGCTGCCCAACATCATAGGAAGTTAGCAGCTCCACTGTTGTGGGGTTCCCAGGTACATGTATATTGACCATCCTTAAATGAGTCCTCAGGCCCCAGATGACTTAGAAATC